TCATATTTATCTCAAAATGATCTCTCAAAGTTTTTTGGGCCTTCTTGGTAACCTCTTCGTCTCTAAACAAGGTGTCATTCATCCTCCATCTGAAGGAGCCAATCAGTGTTAGTTTCATCTCCATTTTCACAGAATTATGGTCGGAGCAAGTTTTAGGACAAATTTCCACTTTTCTAGTCTTTGGAGCCAGTCCTCTACTTATCCAAATTTGGTCAATTCTTGCCCATGTCATTTTGGCTTCAGAGAAGAAAGTTCCCTCTCTACCCAAGGGGTTCTTTGTTCTCCAAATGTCAACTAAGTCCATATTGTCAGTCATCTCAAAAAAGGTTTTTGGTAGTCTGCCATCCTTGGTAACTACCTGTCTCTGTGCCTTGTCCATATTTGTAGATACCACTCCATTCATATCTCCCATCATGATGATATTATAGTCCAGATAGTCCAACAAGGTCTCATGCAACTTTTTAAAGAATTCAGATTTCCCCTCATTTGGTGCATAAACTCCTATCAAAAATTTCTCTCCTTGTGTTTGAATTTCAATTGCCACAAATCTTCCTTGATCATCTTTGAAGATAAATTTCGGTGATAGGCTCTCTTTTGCATAAATCGCTACTCCTCTTTTTTTAACCTTGTCCGATGAGATAAACTCTTGACCCAATCTTTGCCTAATGCCAGAGCTAAAACATCTTCAGATACCATTCCTTTTGACTTAAGTTGAACAGATGCTGCCCCTGGTGGTGCAGAAGGGCCAGGTGCTGATGCTCTTCGCTGCTGCCACGATTTACCAGACCTTCTTGTTTTTTCTTGAAGCAAATCTATTTTTTCTTTTCCATCTGCCTTAACACTTTAACTGGAGCCCAAGGTCGATCCCACGGCCAGAGTTTGTTTTGAAGTGGAAAATGCCCCTGGCCAGTTGTTGTAACAATTTCAAACTTCCTCTAGGGGGACACAGTAACAGTCAATACTTGTTGCATTAAAATAACTTTTTCTAGTCCCCCATTTAACAAAATAAGCAACAGTTTCAATTTCAGTTAGTTTTGTTACCTTAAAATCAGGAGAAACCAGTCAGAAACAATGTATCTCTCTTGCAGAGTTAGCTGTCAAAAATTACATTGTCCATAAGCAGTGCGCTTCACAATGCGGCAATCTTATTGTCCATTGGCAGCCCGTTCCCAGGCTTTAAGCGGTGGACTTTTGTTTCCTTTCCTCTCTTTTTGCAGGAAAATTTACTTCTCCCTTTCCCCCCCCCTCCTCCAACCAAGGGAGGGAGATCTCTTGTATTGATGTTAGGATTATAGTCCTTTTCAGTCGACTTTCCAGGTGGGGTGCTGAATTGGGGGGGCACTGAAGGTGTCCACCGAGTCCCACGGTCACAGGCTTCACCCGCCTGTGATTTTTAGAGGGGTCCCCGCTTTGCCGTAGCGGCAAGACCCAATTTCCGCAAAGCTTAATCCCTCAAAGTTAGAGGGAATCCACCATTACCGATGGCGCCGACCCCGGAAGTCGAGTCTTCTCTTCTCATGAGGTGGCCAAAGTATTGCAGCCTCAGCTTCACGATTTCTCCTTCCAATGAGCACTCAGGGCTAATTTCCTTAAGACTGGATGCATTCGTATAGACATGCAAATTTTTTAATGAATAAAGAATATTAATTTTTTTAAAAAAGGTTGCAATCAACTTAACATATGCGATACACGTGCTTCGCTCTAATGCCTTCTGAATTAACTTGCACTCCACGACAAAGGGATACACTCCTGCTAAATGCACACTTGCTGATTACAGGTATATACTTGGGAGCAACAAGAACTAGCCTTGCGTGGAAAAAGAAGCATCCCCTCTACTTCTCTTCCCTTCTCCCCTCGCCCCCACCCAAGGGCCAGGCCCATGCTTGCTCCCCTAAACCAAAACCTAACCAGGGACCCAGCTGAGGAGAGCTGCACTGAGGCGCATTCGTGAGAGCCTCCCTCTGAATCTTCCCAGGAGCAGGAGGACTGTATAGATTTGGACCAGTGGTTTGCAGAGGAACATAGTTCAGAAGGCAGAAGATGGGAAATACTGGATGGGGAACAGCTTGCAGAAGAAATGGTTGATCTTTCCCTTAATTTGTAACTCAATGCCTTGAAGATCCAATAGCATTTCTTTTTAAATGCTGATAATGCTTTTATTGTAGCTTTTTAATTATTATTTCTGTACCCCCTTGCTAACCAAATATTTTTATATATATGAAAAGCAAATCTTGGATTGAGAAGATAAGGGTTTGTAAAGAAGAAAAGGGTTTGTTTTTTTTAAAAAAAATGTTTGCCTCTGTTCTAAAATTTGGTTATAATATAAAGTGTGTCAATATATTTGGCTTTGTTTATAAAGCAGAAGTGACCAGCTGCTCCTGGAATAAAAAATGAGCTCTGTATCAACAAAAGTTTTACCTATAATTATTCATAAAGAAAAGTTCTAAGAAACGTGAGATTTTCCACCCTTGAGTTTTTGAACTACAACTCCCATCATTCTTGGCCATATGGGCTGAGACTTATGGGCGTTGTTTCCCAACATCTGAGGTACCCCATTTCCCTAAAGCAGACAGATGCTGATCCACAAGACAAGGGCAGCCCATCATTTTGGCATTGAAGGGCACAGGTCAAAACTCAACAGATTCATCACACACCTTGAGCATTCCAGATTCACACTCTCCCCATTTATCTAGCAACAACTTCCAACTTCTTTTCTATATTTGGTATATGTGACCTTCATTACTTTAATACATATATATGTATATACAAATTTAAATACAAACACCAAAACATCACTCAGATTCCATGCATTTAAAATTGATTTCCGCCTTTATGAGTTTCTTAATGTGAGGTAAAGAGTGAAACGTGAGTGGAACATTGCATACCTTGATACGGCTTTTCACCTGGGTGAATTCGCTCATGAATATTAAGGTCTCCACACTGTCTGAAGCTCTTTCAACACTCCATACATTTAAAGGTTTCTACCCTGTATGAGTTTGTTGATGTATTCTAAGGTTTCTACTTTGACTGAAGCTCTTTCCACATTCAATACATTTAAAGGGTTTCTCCCCTGTGTGTGTTCGTTGATGTATTCTAAGGGCTCCACTTTGACTGAATCTCTTTCCACAGTCAATGCATTCAAACGGTTTCACCCCTGTGTGAGTTCGTTGATGTATTCTAAGGGGACCACTACTACTAAAGCTCTTTCCACATTCAATACATTTAAAGGGTTTCTCCCCTGTGTGTGTTCGTTGATGTATTCTAAGGTTTCGACTTTCACAGAAGCTCTTTCCACATTCAAAACATTCAAACGGTTTCACCCCTGTGTGAGTTTGTTGATGTATTCTAAGGTCTCCACTACGACTGAAACTCTTTCCACATTCCATACATTCAAATGGTTTCTCCCCTGTGTGAGTTCGTTGATGTATTCTGAGGGATCCATTCTGACTGAAGCTCTTTCCACATTCAATACAATTAAATGGTTTCTCCCCCGTGTGAGTTTGTTGATGTTTTCTAAGGTTTCCACTTTGACTGAAGCTCTTTCCACACTCCATACATTCAAACGGTTTCTCCCCTGTGTGAGTTCGTTGATGTGTTCTAAGGGTTCCACTTTCACTGAAGCTCTTTCCACATTCAAAACATTCAAACGGTTTCACCCCTGTGTGAGTTCGTTGATGTATTCTAAGGTCTCCACTACGACTGAAGTTCTTTCCACATTCAATGCAATTAAATGGTTTCTCCCCCGTGTGAGTTCGTTGATGTGTTCTAAGGGTTCCACTTTCACTGAAGCTCTTTCCACATTCAAAACATTCAAACGGTTTCACCCCTGTGTGAGTTTGTTGATGTATTCTAAGGTCTCCACTACGACTGAAGTTCTTTCCACATTCAATGCAATTAAATGGTTTCTCCCCCATGTGAGTTCGTTGATGTGTTCTAAGGTTTCCACTACGACTGAAGCTCTTTCCACACTCCATACATTCAAACGGTTTCTCCCCTGTGTGAGTTCGTTGATGTGTTCTAAGGGCTCCAGTTTGACTGAAGCTCTTTCCACATTCAATACAATTAAATGGTTTCTCCCCCGTGTGAGTTTGTTGATGTCTTCTAAGGTTTCCACTAGAACTCAAGCTCTTTCCACATTCAATGCATTCAAATGGTTTCTCCCCTGTGTGAGTTCGTTGATGTGTTCTAAGGTGTCCACTACAACTGAAGCTCTTTCCACATTCAATGCATTCAAATGGTTTCTCCCCTGTGTGAGTTCGTTGATGTGTTCTATGGGCTCCACTAGAACTGAAGCTCTTTCCACACTCCATACATTCAAACGGTTTCTCCCCTGTGTGAGTTCGTTGATGTATTTTAAGGTTTCGACTTTCACGGAAGCTCTTTCCACATTCAAAACATTCAAACGGTTTCACCCCTGTGTGAGTTCGTTGATGTATTCTAAGGTCTCCACTACGACTGAAGTTCTTTCCACATTCAATGCAATTAAATGGTTTCTCCCCCGTGTGAGTTTGTTGATGTCTTCTAAGGTCTCCACTTTGACTGAAGCTCTTTCCACATTCAAAACATTCAAACGGTTTCACCCCTGTGTGAGTTCGTTGATGTATTCTAAGGTTTCCACTTTCACGGAAGCTCTTTCCACATTCAAAACATTCAAACGGTTTCACCCCTGTGTGAGTTCGTTGATGTATTCTAAGGTCTCCACTACGACTGAAGTTGTTTCCACATTCAATGCATTCAAATGGTTTCTCCCCCGTGTGAGTTCGTTGATGTGTTCTAAGGTTTCCACTACAACTGAAGCTCTTTCCACACTCCATACATTCAAACGGTTTCTCCCCTGTGTGAGTTAGTTGATGTGTTCTGAGGGCTCCACTAGAACTCAAGCTCTTTCCACACTGCATACATTCTAACGGTTTCTCCTCTGTGTGAGTTCGCTGATGTGTTCTGAGGGCTCCACTATGACTGAAGCTCTTTCCACATTCAATGCATTTAAACGGTTTCTCCCCATTGTGATTTTGTTGATGTATTCTAAGGTCTCTACTTTCACTGAAGTTCTTTTCACACTCCATGTATTTACATGGATTCTCTCTTGTGTGAGTTTGTTGGTCTAAAGCACATTCCACATTCCTTGCATTTAAACTGTTTCTTTGTTCTTCCCAATGAATTCACAGATGGCTCCGTAGAATTCTGACCATCGTCTTCCTCACCTGTTTGGGAGTGGGGGGAGAGAAAGAAAACCCTGTTAGACTTTTAGGAAAGACAATAAATGAACCATCTTCCTCCGTCCATCCTGACTAGGTTTACAGGTTCAACTTCTTGAGGAGCGCAGAATCCAAGGCAAGTTGTAGCTTCCTGGGAGGAAGGAAGAAGTCAAGGGAGTCTCAGAGCCCCTGTAGGGATTCTGCTGCCTCTGTAGAAGCCCCTATTGGGCACCCACTTCCCAAGAGCCTCCACACATTTTCAAACACCTTTGGCAATTCCTTCCGCCTGCCTGTCCCTTCTCCCTTCCTAAGGCTGGCATGGTATGGGCAGGAATGGCCTTGTGGCAGTTGCCCAAAGGGCCACAATAAATGTAATAATGTGTATCTCTGTAAATCCTTGAGTGTGCTTCTAAAACAGAAGTTATGGTAGTCTGTGCTTTATAACTGATTATTTTGCAAGTTGCCGCCCCCCAATTGGGGCAGAAATACAGCTAATATGAGAATCACAAAGATACAGCTGAAAGCTGGAACATGAGTCAACACATGGTGCAAATGGCTGCATGTAACACAGGTTCCCAACATGCACACCAACACAACGTAACAGAATGCTGTGGGAATCAAAACTAAATCAGCAGAAATTGCCAGTGCTTATCGCACATGTGTATTATAAATAAAATGAGGTAATGATGAATATGAGGAACGTGAAACTCTAAAGGGACTTTTTTAAGGAGGCGGGGGACGCAATAAAAATTTAGATTCTTTTGGCAACAATAAACGTTAAAACAAGGAACTGCTGAGCAAAAACAAAAACAGGAGCATGTGCAGAGGTTCTTGCGGAAAGGGGGCGGGGCCTTCAAAGGTCTCATAATCGACCCAAAACAACACAGAGGTCTACCTGTCAATTGTGGTCCAGCGCTTGGACATCTCTGATGTAAATGATTGCTCGAAATCGAAATGCTTTGTTTGAAATTATATAAATACCACTGCCTGAACCACTGGGCAGGGTTGCAGTTTTGTGGAACGATCCAACTGTAACCTATTGCTTTGCAATAAACAATGGTGGACTCCTCTCTGTTTCGGAGTTTTATTGGTGTGAACTCAGGAGATAAGACTAGATCCCATGGAACATGAGACTTACCGTATTTTTCTGTCTATAAGACGACCCCTATTTGGGGGGCCTCAAAATATTGAAAATAGGGGGATTGAGCTTCTGGGGAGGATTATTTGGGGGGAATGCTGAAAATCACTAACCCACCAGAACGCAGCTCACAACCACTCGCGTTGCAGCTGCCTGATCGCTGTCATTAGCCCTCCTGCTTGCTGCTGCGGCAGCCAATAGACAGCTGCCCTTGTCGCAGCAAGCGGGAGCATGATTGGCGGCTGCCGGTGGCAATCGGGGAGCTGATAGGTGGCTTCTGCCTGGGAAAGGCGCAGGAAAGGCAGAAAGGGGGGAATACCTTGATCGGCAGCTCCGCTTTGCAGGTGGCCTCCTCCCCTTCCCCCTTCATTTACAGAGTCTGCATGGGTAGAGGAGGCTACGGAATAGCAGGCGGGCGGTGCAACGTTATGCAAGAGGAGCAGTGCAGAAATTTGTAGCCTCCAAGATGTTTCACGGGAAAGGCGCAGGAAAGGCATAGAGGGGAGAAATATCTTTGATCAGCAGCTTTGTTTTGCAGGCGGACTTCCCCATTAGTTTGCAGAGTTTGCTGAGCAGCACAAAGACGCTGCACGGCAAAAACCAACAGCCTACAGCCTCCCTCCCAGCTGTAGGGCGGGCAGAGTGGGGGGAGGCAAGCAGACTATGGAGGCCCCAGGGCTCGCCACTGCGAGGAGCTGCGACTGCCAGAGCAAGGATTGCATTTATTTATATATTTAATTGCTATATTCCATGTATAAGACGAGCCATGTTTTTTAACTTTAAAAATTGGGCAAAAAACCTCATCTTATACACGGAGAAAGACAGTAATTTGCAAAGGACTGCTCTGAATACATGGGTGGCCCTTGCATGGAGAAGGAAGCCCCTTCCTTGCATCTTGGCCCCCTGGGAGACGCGGTGGAATTGAGGTGATAGTGACAGCTCTTGCCTGTTCTGCCTTCTAAAGGAGAACTTCTCTTCTCCTCTTTGTTGCACACAGAGGCACAACTCATCCGCAGCTGATGGCCTCCAAATGCTGGCGAAGGCGCGCAAGCCCACCCAAAGCCACCACACCCACCACGCGCAGGCAAGAGACTAACCGCCAGTCCGGGAGCTTCCAAACACCTCCTTCTGCCGCCCTGCCCGCTCAACCAACACCCCTCATGGTGGGGCCACCTTGGCCACTACCCAATGACAGGAGGGCGAAGGGTAAGGCTTAGCAGGCCAGGCTGCCCAGATACCTCCCGGGGTGAGCGAAGGAACGAGCAGAACCCTGCCCAGGGCCCAGGCAGGCGCTGGAGGCTGTGCCTAAAGAGCCCGCTTTGCCAAGGAAGAATGCGCTAGGAAGGAATAGGGAGTGTTATAAGCTATAATTTTAATTTTCAGTATATAAGGTGTATGAAATTATAAGCAGTAGAAATTTATATGCTATTACTCAGAAAGGGAAGTTGGGGGAAGTCATGGGGGTGGGGAGATTAATTGGAATGTAAAATGTACCGTATTTTTCCGTCTATAGGACGCCCCCATGTATAAGACGCCCCCATGTATAAGACGCCCCCTATTTGGAGGGACTCCAAATTAAGAAAACACCCCTCAGCACTACCCGTGTATAATGTTCAGTTTCTGTTAATTGATTCTCATGGGAAACTTGCAGATTCTGGCTTCACACAATTAACTCAAGGCAGTGTCAATTTACTCTTGGCAGAAAGCCCAGGTCTGCTTGACCTAGAAACTACTTACTCTGATTGGTTAACGACCAGCACTCAACTCTGTTATCTAGGGACTGCTAGCACAGTTTGATGTGAGGTGTGTTAGGAGTAGAAGTGCTGTGTATGGTTTTGAGAGAGAGAGAAAGAGAGGATTTATTTTGCTTTTATTTGTATGCAGAAACTCTGCTGGTTTTATTTTTTCCTTTTTTAATAAATCCTGTAAATAGTTATTCTGAGTCTAGCTGACTAGTCATTACCGCCGCAACTAGCTTCTTCGCTGTGCAGGAAAACTCTGCTACGTTTGGGCTAAAGCCAATAGGGCTATGCCTGACACTTCAAAGTTCCATGAGGTTATGGGCATTGTGCTGCCAGCCTGAGTTGCGGTGGTGTCAGCATCAACGGCGTTGGTTCCAGTAGTTCCAGAAGTTGTTGTTCCTGTCGGTGCAGCAGATGGACTCTGGCTGGTTCCTGACTGTTGTGAGCTGGTGACGCAGCGGACACAAGGACAACAGCTGCAGCGTGTGAGTGCTGGGTGCTGTGGTTCCTGTTTTCTCTCTCGGTGGTCGTGAGTAGCTGGTTCCGGGTTCCAGGGACATCGCTCTCAAGATGGCCTCACAACCAGTTCAGATGGCTTTTGAGCGTCTGAATGACTCCAATTACTTGCTGTGGTCGGAACGCATGCAGGCAGTGCTGCAGAGGGATCGTCTCTGGCAAGTGGTGAGTAAGTTTCCTGCGAAGCCTGATGATGAAGACCTCGATAAAGACCAAAGAGCAAGGGCCACAATTGTCTTGGGGCTGGAAGATTCCCAGTTGCCGTATGTGAGGGGAATCAAGACAGCTAGAGGTGTGTGGCAAGCACTTAAAGAACTCCATGTGCGTGAGACAGCGGTTTCCAAGCTGTTCATTCGCAAGGCATTGTACAAGGCAATGTTACAGCCTGGGGTTACAATGCAGGAACACCTACACAGTTTACAGTTAAAGTTTACTGCGCTACAGGAAAGAGACTGTGCGTTAGACCAGCAGGAGAAGGTGGCTATTATTTTGAGTTCTCTCCCGGAAAGCTGGGATAATTTAGTTTTGTCTCTAGAAGGCATACAGGAGCATGATTTATCAGTCAGCTATGTTACTGGGCGTTTGACTGAAGAATGGCAGAAGAGGCAAGAAAGGTCGTTTGCTGCAGAGGCTTCTACAGGCGGGCAGTTTGGAAGGAGTTCTCATGCCGTGTCAGAGGTGGAGCAAAATCAGCGTACTGGTGAGGAGTCAGCGTTTGCTGTTAGGCGTTGTTTCCGATGTGGGTCTTCAGCGCATCTAAAACGACAATGTCCGGAGTTGGTCAAGTCTCAGTTGCCGGTGCAGGAGCAGAGACGAGATCAGCAGCAGCAGCAGCATAAAAAGGAATTCTTCAAACGAAAACAGTCGGCTCAGCTGGTGACCGGCGAGGTCAAGATTGCTGATGAGAAACAAGCTGTCTTGGTGGTCGATTCGGGAGCATCTCGCCACATCGTAAATTCAGATGAATTGTTTGTTTCCAAGAACTTAGCACAGCGCAGCAAGGTGGCTCTAGCAGACGGAAGTACTTCCGAAGTGATTTCGGGGGGTGCAGTTTTTGTTCCTTGTCTTCGTGAATGCCTGCAAAATGTACTTTGTGTGCCGTCATTAAGGAGCAATCTGATGTCTGTAGATTGTTTGCTAAAAGCTGGGTTTAAAGTGTATTTTGAAGGAGACAGTTGCATTATTAAGAAGGCTGGTGAGATTTTGGGCACTGCTAAGTCAGAGGGAGGCTTGTTTTGGCTTAAAGCAGGATCTCAAGTTGCAGCAGTAGTCAGTAAATCTCAGCCTGCAGTGAATAACAAAGCTATACATGACAACTGTGTGCACTTATTGCATAGGAAAATGGGGCATGCTTGCTGGAAAAGTGTACTAAAAATGTCTGAATTGGCTGATGGGGGTAATTTAAAGAGTTGTAACAAGTACCTTGATTGTAATGTTTGTAAAAAGGTTAAAACCCACAGAGTCTCTTACCCCAGAAGTGACAGAGTTAGTGAATCACCTCTACAGCTGGTTCACATGGACGTAATTAGTCCATTTGCTGTAAGCAGGGATGGATCGCGCTTTTCAATAACAATTGTGGATGACGCCACGCGTTACTCTTGGGTTTTTCCCATGAAAAATAAGGGTGACGTGTTCACTAAGTTTAAAGGCTGGGTGGCATCTGTGGAAAGATTTCTGTCCATTAAACTTAAAAGGATTCAGACGGACAGAGGTGGCAAATTTATGTCAAATGCCTTTAAAGATTGGTTACAAAAGCGTGGCATTGGGCATAGAAAAACGAACGTTTTTTCCCCAGAGGAGAATGGCGTTGCGGAGCGAAAAAACAGATCTTTACAAGATATGATGTTTGCCATGCTTGAGGATGTCTTATTGGGGGGAAAGCATGCTCACCGCGTGTTATCTCCAAAACAGGCTCTTTCATCAAACAATAGGTACAATCCCGTACTTTAAATTGTTTCAGAAAAAACCCAAAATTGACCATTTGCATGTGTTTGGATCAAAAGCCTGGGTATTAATTCCGAAACAAATGAGGAAGAAGGGAGATCCTAAGACCAAACAGTTAGTGTTTGTGGGTTACCAGGAGCTGGGAAAAGGTTTCCGCTTTGCTGAAGGGACAAATGGCATTGTGATCTCCAGGAATGCCAGTTTTTGTGAACATAGTGGCTGGGAGAGACTACATGCCAATACTGAGGTTTGGTTTGAACCTTCCCAGGAGCTTCATGACTCTGAAGGTAAACAAAGAGAATCAGAGTCTGAGGGGGAGGAAAGTTCAGATAAGAGCTCTCAAGAAAGTGGAATTAGCCAAAGACCAGTTGCTAAGCAACAAAAGAGAGGTCGTAGTTCTGAGGAGGAAAGTGGGTCAGAAGAAAAATTTTCTCCCAGAAGATCTAAAAGACAAAACAAAGGAGTGCCTCCGGTGCGTTTTTCTCCAGATTCTGCAAATGTGTTTAGTGTAATTGCAGAGCCCAAGAGTTTTCAGGAGGTGTTAAAGTTACCAAAAGAGGAGGCAGAGCGCTGGAAACAGGCAATGGAGGAAGAGATGTCCTCTCTGAATGAGCACAAGGTTTTTACACCAGTAGCAGCGCCTGAGGGGGCAAAGATTGTAGGCTGCAGGTGGGTGTACAAACTTAAACCTCTGGTGACAGGAGAGTACAAATACAAAGCTCGTTTACTGGCTCAAGGATACTCTCAGAGGCCTGGAAAAGATTATGATGAGACTTTTCCCCCTACTGCTAAGGGGGACAGTGTAAGGCTGATTTTAACGCTTGGAGCAAAGAGAAAACTCCTGTTAAACCATTTTGATATCCAGACTGCATATTTACATGCATCAATATCAGAAGACCTGTATCTAGCCGAACCGCCTGGTTATGAGACGGGTTCCAATAGAGTGTTGAAATTAAACAAAGCTCTATATGGTCTCAAACAGGCTGCAAGATCTTGGAACAAATGTTTCCATGAGGCCTTAGTGTCATTTGGTTTCAAGCAGAGTACAGCTGACAATTGTGTTTATGTACGTGGTACAGGCAGTGATCAAGAGTTTTGTCTGATTTATGTAGATGATGTTTTGTATGCCTGCAAAACAGGTAAACAAACTAAAAGGTTTGCCAAACAATTGTCCAGTAAGTTCAAAGTGAAAGACTTAGGCCCGGTTAGGACATATCTAGGGTTGGAAGTGTGCTGGGCCCAAGATGGCAGCTGTCTAATTAGTCAGCAGAACAAAGTTAAATAACTACTGACTACATACAGGATGCAGGATTGCAAAGGGGCAGTGGTGCCTATGGATCCAGGTTTCATAAAAACACGAGCCTCAATTTTATAGCTAATTTTTTTGGTAAAAAACAAACAAACTAGCCTTATACATGGAAAAATACGGTAATTTGGTGTTTTGATTATGCTTAAATTTGTTATAAAATCTGAATAAAAATATTTTATTAAAATAAAAAAGTTTTGTGAAAGACTAGATGGGAAATTTATTCAAGGGCCACAAGTGCAGAACTTGGCAGTTACAATGGAATAATTTCTGCATTGCATTGGCTGCATATTGATACCACAGAGAAGGGTGAAACAAGTAATCAAGCCACAAACATTTTGAATAAAATGGAGGAACTTGGTTCCAGAGATCTTTTTGATCATTTTAAAGAACAGGCAAAGGACAAATTGCCTGATGTTGATTACAAGAAAAGCAGAAGAAGATCTAGAACAGGCTTTCTCAACCTGTGGGTCCCCAGATGTTGCTGAACTACAACTCCCATCACTCCTACCTAGCAAGGCCAGAGCTCAGGGATGATGGGAGTTGTAGTCCAACAACATCTGGGGACCCACAGGTTGAGAACTGCTGATCTATAAGGAGGCATATAGGTGAGGATGAAGATGAAGCTTTAGAGAACCTTGAGCCAAGAAACAAGTTGAGAATCAAAGCATTTATACCTGCGATGGATGGATTAGAATCAAATCTGGCACAAAGGGCATCAGTATACAATGATGCTGCAAAAAAGACTGGTGACTGGGAGCAGCCACCGAGATCACAGAACACTGGTCTTGAAAGACCCACGTTGGCTCCCAGTATGTTTCTGAGCACAATTCAAAATGTTGGTGCTGACCTTAAAAGCCCTTAACGGCCTCTGTCTAGTATACCTGAAGGAGCGTCTCCAACCCCATCGTTCAGCCCAGAAACTGAGGTCCAGCGCTGAGGGCCTTCTGGCGAGAAGCAAGGTTACAAGGAACCAGGCCTT